CTTCTCCGCACGTCCTACCTTCCAGAAAGTGGTCGCTTTTCTGTTCAGAGTGTTGTTACTATTCTTATCTTCGATCTCCTGTTGAGTTCGTAGGTGTTCAGAATGGTTTGATCCCTATTCAGCTGAATTCCTGAGACCAGACGAAATCCAGTTCTCCTCCTCTGCCATCTTGCTCTGCCCCCTTGTAAGAGGAGTTTTATTAGGACATAGCCACAACCATTTGTTTACAGATTGTGGCTGCATTTGCACTATATTAGACAATTAAAGAGCTGCCATGGGGACAATATGGCCTGAAAACTATGATGTTTGCTATATGGTTCTTTATGAAAATATTTGCTGAACTCCAGTCTAATCCACTGTCAAGTCTATCCACTGAGATACTGATTTAAATTATTGTGCTTCATACTTCTAGAATTGCCATTTTATTTATTTATTTATTCATCTATTTATTTATTTATTAAAGATTTTATTTATTTTATTATTTGAGAGAGAGAGAGCAAATGCACATGAGCAGGGGGGAGGGAAGAGGAAGAGGGGCAGGGAGCCTGACTCAGGAGTAGATTCCAGGACTCTGGGATCATGACCTGACCTGAAGGCAGATGCTTAAGCAACTGAACCACCCAGGTGCCCCTGCCACTTTATTTTTATTGTAGCTTCTTTGTTTCTAGTGAAATTCTCTGTCTTGTCATTTAGTTTCTTAAGCATTTTAACCATCGTATCTTAGCCCAGGCTCTCTAAAAAACAGAACCCTGGGAGCGAGCCATGTGCTAATCCTGATGTTTTAAGACCCTGGGACTGGTATGGAGTATCGTGAAACACCATCCAAAGCCCAAGCTAGAGTTGCAGGGGGCAGTGGCGGTATACCCAGGTGTTTAAATTTCTTTCAGGTGGTGCCAATACCTGGATGTTCTGTAATTCCATTTATAGTCTAGTGCTCCACCTTTTTTGGTTGTTATTAAATTTTATCTTTTTTGTGTGCCTGCTTATTTTTATGTTTTGCTATATATAGTAGATGAAAGATTATAGATATAATTTGAGACTGGATTAATTTCTGCTTCTGGAAGAATAGGTTAGCAGCCAGTTACCTTCAGCCAACAAGGAATTGAAATGATCTGAACCTGGCCTTCATTCCCTTTGAAAATTGGTCAATTTCCAGTTCACACTTTTTCCTAGGATAGAGCTTTTTGGGGTCTCAGTTGGGCGCCGGGGGCATTTATTGGTACCGCCTCAGCTTTGGTGGATCTCGAGCTCCAGGGTTTGCTGTCAGCCACACGAGTCTGATGGCAGGTCTGCTCAGCTTCTCAGCCGCTCAGTCACCACTCTTGCATGATGGAAAATTGCCTTGAGTAGCAACGTGGTGCCAAAGGTGGTGCCAAATGTTATGCTCACCTCTCTGGGCTTCCTTTGTGTCTGGGATCTTGGCCCTGCAAATACTCACTAGTATGGTAGTTCTCTGGTGCCTTCACATACATTAAAAAACTATTTTAGGCAGTGTTTTCACTTATTCTCACCGGCAGGGCTCATCAGAGACATTCTTTCATCGCCAGAGAAAAACCCTTTGCAAGTGTCTCTGCCTCGGTGACAGCTTGGCTCCTACCCTCCCACCCGTCCCTGCCTCTCCTCCCCAGCGACACGTCTCGTGCTGGGGTTTTTATACTGTTTTATGATCAGATACATCAAAATATTATTTTTCAGTCAACTCGTATTTACATTTATGAATAAGCTTTACTGAGTGATTTCATCATTACTGCTTCTTGCGTCCACTACCACCTTCTGCTTTTATATTAGTTCTTGTTCAGTACCTTTTAGTTTTTCTCTCTCTCTTTTTTTTTTCCAGTGAGGGTCTCAAGTGGTCAAGTTTCAGTCTTACTGTGTCTGAAAATATCTTTATTTCACTGACTATGATGATAATTTGATCATAGATCATTCATAGATTGATAATTGATCTTTGATTGTTTGTTAATAACATGGAATTCTAGATAAAAAGTTATTGTTCCTCATCACTTTGAAGATATGATTGTGCTTTTTTGCATCCAGTGTTTCCTGAGAGAAATCTGATGCCAATCTGATTCTCACTGCTTTGTAGGTTAATCATATTTTTTCCTTTCCAATAACTTAAGATTTTTCTTTATCCTGGCTGTTGTACTTTTTTAAAATGTCTGCTCAGAACTTGCTGAACATTTTTGAATTGAGTACTCCTGTCTTTCTCAAGGTCTAGGAAATTCTCAGCAATTATATCGTCAAATATCGCCCCTTCATTATTTCCTCTGTGTCTCCAGCTTGAACTCCGTATGTGTGTTGGCATTTCTGGATTGATCCTGCATGAACTCAACTTCTTTTCCTCTTTCTTTTTCTCTTTTGGTTGCATTCTGGGAGTTTCCATCAGGTCATTCATTTGTTCAATCAGGAGGGAAGAAAAGAGAAAAGTGGGGGGAGAACTTGCTGCTTGAGTGTGGTCCCTCAGGGGTACATCCCCTCTTCCCTCTGCCTGCTCACACGCAGTGGTGCCCCTCCTCCTTAGTTTGATGCTGGAGCGCTCATGTGTAAACACCATGTAATTGTGTATGTTTGAGTTTCTGCAGTTGTGCTTTCAGAAGACCTTTTTGGAAGGATTTACTTCAAGATGTTATTACTGAAAGTGTAAGAATCCCAATTATGTGCTGTGTTGCCAATAAACCCATATTGGCTCAGTCCCGGGTCCCATGGAAATTAAAATCAGATGTATCAGGTAGAAAAAAGAAGTTACCCAAACAAACAAGTCCACCTGACAGATGTGAGAACTCACTCCCAGGCATGGAATCATCTGGAAAGATGACTCCAGGGAGGCTGGTTGAAGATCTTCTGTGCCCCCATGTATGACAAACCTTAATGAAATGTTATCACATGTTACAATTTTTGGAATCTTCATGTGCCACAGTTTGTTGTGATCGGTATGTGATTGTCTGTATCACTGAAATAGATTCATCGCATTTGGAAAGGTGCGGGAAGTGCTGGCTCCTTGTATGCAGACACGTGATCGCAGTTCTCTCTGTCCAGACCAGGTACACAGTGGCCAAGGACAGTGTGGTCCAGTTCTTCTTCTACCAGCCGATCAGTCATCAGTGGAGACAAACCGACTTCTTTCCCTGCACTGTAACATGTGGAGGAGGTGAGGCACAGACTGCGTGTATGCTTCGGGCTCAGAGTTAGAAATGACATACCTGTGTTTTTTGAAGCTGACTTTACAACTGGTGTGGTAATTGGGGATGTGTAATCACACGGCATCTTATTCAGTGGCTGGAATGCGGTGGTGTTCCCAAATGCGTGTTTGCCTTTATTCCTGAAGACAGATGAAAACGGGATTTGGAAAACACCTTTTATTTATATAAATATCCAGCAAACAGCTGGATATGTGTTTACATGAGTTCTGGCCTTTCTTGTTTTGTCTTTAAAGCATGTATTATGTTTAATTTTCCATGGAGAACCTGAAAAACAGAGGGGCCACGTCACTTGCCCAGTCTGACGGAGTTCATGGATGTGTTGGTTCTAATGTTTAGATTTCTCCTGTCCTCCCTCAGGTCCCAGAGCAGAACTTACCAGAGAGAGAAAGGGTAGCTGCTAAGTGGTGAGGGGAAGTCCTGCTTACTGTTTGCTTCGTTCAAGGATTTCACAGATGGTTCAGGAAGGTTGTGGGCCAAGTGTAACCCAGGGCTCCACACACGTGCTACACATATTTGCAGGCTCAGGTGGAGGATCATCGTCTGTTTAACATGGAGAAAGTATCTGGAGGAAATGAGGAGGCTACCAGAGCCTCCATGGAGATAATTCTCTTTTATTGAACTGAAGTTTTAAACTGAAGGTAAATGGTTCTATAAGTGCCAACCCAAGAACCACAGTTACTAGAATTGCTAGAGAGACTTAATGCTGATACTTCCCCTAAAAACACCAGACAACAGTGCCGGGCATTCACATGTATCAAGCCATGGGTGGGGGCACTCATCTTCATGTTTATTGTTCCAAACAACCTTAAGAAAGATCTCTTTTCAGGCCTGTTTTTATGTATGAGCAATGGAAACATAGAAAGGGTAAACAATGGACTCCCGTGTGCTCAGCGAGCAAACAGCATGGTTAGGATCTGGCTCCAGGTCCATCTGATGCCAGAGCCCCATGCTCTGGATGGCTTTGCCCTTGTGTCTCCCAAGAACCGTCTACCACCCCTGGGAGCAGGCCAGGGCATGCAGGCTCAGTAGGGTTGTGTTTGAAGGACTACAATAAATCCTCCTCCCGCAGCCCAGCCCAAGTCAGTCCAGCCCCAAACCATTTCTTCCCTGCAGGACTATTGAATATGAGCTTGTTCAGAGAGCCACAAACTGAGTGTGGTTTCTGCCTCTTCTCCTCTAAACCACAGGCTTATCAAGGAGGGCTCCTCAGCTTTATCCTCAGCCAGGGTCAGGTTCCCGTGCATATGTATGTCAGACCTCTCTCTTCTGCGATTTCGGCTCCCAGTGAAAGCAGGAGGCAGGTGCTTTTGTGGGGACCACCGAGTAGCCCAGACCCCAGAAGGAGCTTGTGTTGCCAGGAATGGAAGAGAAATAGTCTGGGGGTTGAATGGGGCTCTAGAAACAAGGTAAAAAGTTAACCTTCCCGGTTTGTCCTTCTTGGACCAGGCGTGGGCAATAGACCACAAGATTATGATCCTACAACAGTGGTTCTCAAAGTGGGTTTCCTGGACCAGCAGCCGCATCACGTGGGAACTTGCTGGAGATGCAGATTCTTGGGCCCCACCCTGGACGTACTGAATCCGAAACTCTGGGAGCGGGGCCTATCCCTCCAGGAGATTATGGTGCATGTTCAAGCTTAAGAACCACTGCTCCCTAAAGCAATGTCTTTGGATATCAGCTGTAGCTGTTTTAACCTTGCTGCTTTTGCCATATCTGTGTTACGCCTACACTATTATTTACTTCCAGTTTTTTCTTTAAATGGACCTTTTAAATAATTAAACATATTCACAAAAAAGGATCTAATAGGCCCTCAAAGTGGTAAACTATGATGTCTTTGCCTTAAATTGAACATAGTCACAAAAATAAATATGACAGAAACAAAATGCTGGAGATCATCTCTAAGTCCCTGCCAGGCCTCAGTCTATTCTTGATTCTCCCTGAAAGTGAGAACGTGTTTTGTTGAACATGATAAGCATTGCTCCCAGGCAGAAACTCCTTCAGAGCTTTGGGTCACTGATCTTGCAACGGTGACCGCAAGGCAATTCTTACAACACATTTGATCTCGTTGAACGCTGAGGTCAAACAGCATTTGGAATCAAGACCGTGATCTGCATCAATTCCATGAGTCTCTCCAGACCTGGGCCTCAGGCTCATTTTGGCCAAAAGTGTTCTCTAAAAATTGCATGACGACATTTACATCAAGAGGCGGTGTGGTCCCAGAGCTCAGGTTCCGGGACCTGGACTCCCTTCTTGGCTTTGCCACTACTTGGCTCTGAGCCTCAGTCTGCTCATCCATAAAACAGGATGATCCCCGCCCCCCGCAGCATTGTTGGGGGACAAAATGACAGGACACATGCCAAGGAGCCTAGTACGGTGCCTGGCATTAGTGGGTGCTTGGGAAACACCTGTTATGTCAGAGTCTAGGCAAACCTGAATTTTGTTAAAAATGCCTCTGCATAATCTACAGAGTTCCGGCTGTCTCCCCTTCTGGCATTCCCTGGGGATGTGTTATGAGATACAGACATGACTCAGTGCTAATAGTAGAAAGCTCTCAGGGGAGAGTGGGACATACCTAGAGCTCCTTACATATGCATTATATATCCAGAAGCAGAATCCCACCACCTTAAAGTCAGGTGGGCCATGGCTCCAGGGCAGACGGAGTTTCTCATGGACCCCAACATAAAAGCAAAGAGCCGCTGGGGCTCTTTTTATTCTTACTCAGCAGGAAAGCCAACATCTCTTTCTTTTTAGTGTATTCGCTAACTCTCACCGTGTTATTCAGAGAGACTTTCCCATGTAGACACACACATAAGAGAAAAGAGAAGCTTTCCACTCTGGGAGGGACACTCATAATGGGATTCGGCTTAGTTCGGTTGGTTAAATTCTTGGGAGGAACACAGGTGTGTCTCATACTTGGGTGCTGAAGGAAAGACACAGTCAGCCCGGCTGGAACCGTAAATGGGAGCACCTAGCGGTCAGACCACCCGCCAGAGAGCGGTTGTCAGAACAGAAGGGAGACTTCACACTGCTTGTGGGGGACCCCTTGCAGCCTGCCATTTTGTACCCACTGGCAGAATTTCAACACATTTGTTCATAGTATAGGAAGGCAATCTGCCTTATTTCCTTTGCTTTTCGTTATCTTGGTACTGCCATAAAATTAAAGAGGAAAATTAATTGTCTCTCCTTAAATTATAAACACCTGTATGCTTTTTTTTGGTCTCCTAGAAGTATGTTTCCATTTAGAACAAAGGTTTTTCTTTGATTCAAGGAGGTGTAATCTCATTCTCTACTTGTGTTGGAGGAAATAAAAAGACACACATAAAAACCCACAAGGAAACCATTACCAGAATTTAATTATATTAGTAATCGAGTGTACATGATTTGTGTAAATGCCATTTCTGAGTTTTTGGATAATCAGGCAAGTTCCCTGCTCCCGAAGGTACTCGGATGGACTTTCCTGGTCTTGCCTGCAATCGTCTACGTGGGACTCTTAAGATCAGTCTGGAGAAAGTTCCGGGATCGCCACTGCCATCTGATATTGTAGACTCTCTGGCAGATACTGGCACCGAGTAACATTTTATTGATTCCATTTGGATTTTCGTTCTTGCGGTTTCAACCTTGCTTTTTATAATGCATACCAGTCTGTCCTTCCGCACTCAGCTTACATCCAAGCCGTGGTTTGCAGAAAGCTGTCTAGTGGTTTATAAAATCAGATTGCTCTTGACAATCAGGCCCCTAAATGTATTTTTAGAGCTTTAGACTAATTGGCTGAGGCTGAGAGCTTAGCTTTGGGCTTTTTTTTTTTTTCCCCTGAAGAACTCATTCTGGTTTTGAAAAATTGCCTTTTTTTTTTTTTTTTTAACTTAACATGACACTTATGTAGTGACAGGAAACCTGGAATCAGATCTTTCAGGAAATAGAAGCATCATTTTGTGCATTTTTTTAAATTTACAGCACTCCCCCATTTGGAATGTACACTTTTCCTCAGCGACGGCAATTTGAATTTAATAGAATCGGAAGTGAGTCTTCATCACTTTTCTTCTGAAGGCTCTTGAGGCAGGGGCCGGTAGAGGGGACGGGTTTTGTTCCTCCCTGTAGAGACGGTGCTTACTTCCCTAGTTAAGGAGGTTTGTTGGCCTCAGAGGTGCCCTGGGTTCCCCAGGACAGCAAGAGAGTAAAACGTGGCATATGCTTCCAACCGGATATTATGCGGTGGGAGCAAGCACCAACCTGGCACATGGGTTGCTCTCAATAATGTAATGTTGAGTGAGAGAAGCAGAAAATAGAACAAGATTTTAAATACCTATTTGGTTAAAACAGATACACACAACGTTACATGAGGCAGGTGCATATTGAAGAACATATAACCGATGAACAGGTGTCTCTGGGGGAACCTAGATGGGGGAAGGGTTAGGCAAAGAGGGGAAGTGTGAGGAAAGAAGAGGGCGTCTGGCTGGGTGCCAGGGGGACAGTCAGGACATGGGCCAGTGAGTGACCTTCTGCCCCAAGGATCAGGCGTTCTGTAAAAGGAGGCTGCTGTAACTTTCTCGTTAAAAGTGCTAAGACCTCCACAGTCGGTTCAAGTAATCATTCCTGACCTTGGCCACACATTTTAGTCATCTTCGAAGAACCTGAAGATCATTAGGAAAAAAAAAAAGCCAATTTCCTGGACCTAGCCACAGCGTTTCTGGCTTAATTGAATCACAAAGGGACCCAGGCATTGGTGTGTGCTGGAAGCTCCCAGTGGTTCCATTGAGTAGCCAGGGATGAGAACCACTGAGTTAAGTTTCTTAAGGGGGGAAAAAGGGGCGTGGCAAGGGATCACTGCCACGTGAAAATGCCACCATGCAATATTCAGACTTGCCTTTTCTTTTTCCGTTAGGTTATCAGCTCAACTCAGCTGAGTGTGTGGATATCCGCTTGAAGAGGGTGGTTCCTGACCATTACTGCCATTACTACCCCGAAAACGTGAAGCCAAAACCCAAACTGAAGGAGTGCAGCATGGACCCTTGCCCATCGAGGTTTGCATCATCACCCATAGTTTTTACTCTAAAGAAACAAATCAAGTGTGGCCCAGACCCATCAGTCTTTGCAGAGTGACATTTGCACCACGTGACCTTGAACACACGCTGGTGGCCATTACCTGCATTTGTCACCCAGCTCACGTGGTCCAGTGCTCTCCTGTCTGGCGGTGCGTGCCTGCTCTTGGAGATTTGCTCTTCGTCATGACGCTCTTTGAGTATATCCTGCACACCCAATAGGAAAGGTCTCCTCGTCCAAGTACGAGGTCTTGTCCATCTGCTAGTCATAAATATCTTGACTCACCATTTTCACTTTTAAACTGGGTCACCCATGACCACGTTTTGACTTTTGAAGTGTTCACGTTAAATTCGGTATAAATAATGCATTGTGCAAGGAAGTGAAAAGTTTTAATGCCAAAGCAGAAAAGCTATGCATAAACGATCCCGTTGCATAATTTAGTACCTGCTGACTTGGATTGCCTGGAGAAGTTTCCTGGCTTTACTACAGTATCTTAAAATAACAGCACAATATCAGGTCCCAGAATCCCCCAGACATCTGCCAGCTGGCTGCAGCAGAAGTGTGCTAGTGGAAAAGGAAGTGCTCTCAGTAGATTTCATTTCCTATCACTGAGCTGCCCATTTCCTGTAATCCCAGGTAAACGTAATTATTCATAGAGACCTTTTCAAAGGACAAACCCTGTGAAATAAAACGTTTCTCTGAAGATTCTACTAATATGATAGCGTGTTAATATCATTATATCAAAAAAAATTTTAGATGATAAAAACATAGATTTATCTAAATTAAGAGACACTCTTTCCTTTGGCTAATACATACCATTAGTTTCTGAATTTTCATAGACCTGGGGATGGCGTGTGCCAGAGATGTTCCTGAAAACCAAAAAGATGGTGGCTCAGTTTTTGGGAAGAGTTTACAACCCCAGGCTTATTTAGTTTTCAGTGTGAAAGAGCTCCGTCTTTGGGGATGTCAAATCCATAGTGGTCGAATTAATAAATATGTTAATTGAGAAATGACATTGTCACAATGATTTCATTTGTAGCGACGGGTTTAAAGAGATCATGCCCTACGACCACTTCCAACCTCTCCCTCGGTGAGTCACATGTTTGCCTTTTCTATTCCGCAGTTTGCTCTAAGTAGTTTGCAAGGAAGTGTATGTATCCTATGTGTAGCAATCTAAAATGTAAGAGGGGTAGATATTAGATTCTTTGCAGAGAGCTAAGGGAAAGCAGACTTCAACTCCATAGTATGGAAGATCTGTCGAAGAATTAGGTGGAATGCGCCCCCTCAAACAGCAATGTCTCCTGTCACTGGGGGTATCAAGCACAGCTTGGATGACTGGCCATGAGAAAGGGAGCTCAGGCATTGCAGTTGGTCAGAGATTTGAATCCCCTTTGATGCCCAGATGACTACTTTCTGACCTTCAGTTTCTTTGATTCTCTAGTAGTATTGTCTGTTAGTATTTATAGTGGAGAGACGGTTTAAAGAATGCTTTCACATTCTATATGTTAACCAATGAGATTCTCAGAATGGCCCTGTGCAGGGGCAGGAGGGAAGATGTCGCATTCCCTCCTGACAGTAGCCTCGGGGACAGAGGCGTGAAGCACCCTGTGACTATAGATTGTGTGGCAGTCATGACGAAAGTCTCATGACTCCAAGTCCTGCGTGCTTTCCACTGAACCACCGCTGGCCTCTCTCCCCTTTGCAAGCTTGAAACCGACAAGCAAATGACACATAAATAATGTGTTTTTATTTGTTTGCTTTTGAGCTGGGAACATAATCCTTGGACCGCGTGCTCGGTGTCTTGCGGAGGTGGGATTCAGAGACGGAGCTTCGTGTGTGTGGAGGAGTCCATGCACGGGGAGATTCTGCAGGTGGAGGAGTGGAAGTGCATGTATGCGCCCAAACCCAAGGTCATGCAGACCTGCAACCTGTTCGACTGCCCCAAGTGGATCGCCATGGAGTGGTCTCAGGTAAGATTTGAGGACAGGACACGTGTCATTAAATCTCAGATTTTAATGAACGCTGGCTGGGTGTTATCGATCCTTTTTTCACATACCCCCTAAAAGATGTTTGCAAAGTTATATACCCCTTCCCATATATTTGGGTTGACAGCTAAAATTTTTTTAAAGATTTTATTTATTCATTTATTTGCGAGGAGCGGGGAGGAGCAGAGGGAGAGGGAGAAGCAGACTCTGGGCTGAGTGCAGAGCCTGCTGTGGGGTTCGATCCCATGACCCTGAGGTCATGACCTGAGCCACCCAGGCACCCCAACATCTAAAATTTTTGTATAAGTTTAAATAAAAAGTATCAAAGAATGTCATTTCTAATATGTTGTGAATGCAGGCATTTTTTAAAATAAAAGTGTTACGGCACTTAAAAAAATGTGTCCAGCAGAATGTAAATGCCATGTTGATTTCTACCCTTGCCATCTTTCCCTTAAAAAATACATAGAGAAGCTCTTCTTGAACAATTTGGATAGTTTGCATTTTTGCCCCTTGAACTTGAACTTTCAATCCACTCTCCCCATAGAAATTTATCCTAATATAATGTAACTTTATGCTTTATAGTCTTTTATTGATTACGCTATTCTACTTTTCTCCAAGAAAATGTGTATAGTGATTGAAATTAGTTAATTTTATTTGAAATGAATTTATTTTAACTTCCTGTCACCATAAGGCTCTAAGTATTAGAAATATTCGCCTGGGTTGTTACTATCAAAACAACATAGATTTTAAATTTTGGTAAACAGTTTTACACATATAAAGTAAATTTTCAATTGAAAGCAATCTTTCTAGAAAATGAGGGGGGCTTGAAAAAATAGTCCGTTGCCAGGATAAGACATGGGTTCAGCAGTAATTTTATTCTTAATTTTTACTGCAGATTTCTTGGTTTGTTTTGGTTTTTTCATGTACACACCGGGAGAACTTGTTCACATAAATAAGTAGACTGAGATGGGGGGATTTTATTATAGCGAGATTATTCAGGGGGCACCTGGGGGGCTCAGTCGGTCAAGCATCTGCCCTCAGCTCAGGTCATGATCTCAGGGTCCTGGGATCGAGTCCTGCATCGGACTCCTTGCTCAGCAGGGAGTCTGCTTCTCTTTCTTCCTCTGCTGCTCCCCCTGCTCCTGCTGTCTCTCTCTCTCTCTCTCAAATAAATAAATAAAATCTTTAAAAAAGGATTATCCAGTTCTTGAACTCCTGAGTTATGTTCCAAAAATCACGTCGTGATCTATCATCAGAAATCAACATTTTTACTTCTCTACTCTGCAGAGTTCGTTTTTGGCTCCTAGAAGTCTCATGCATATGTTTTCTGTTGGCTTTAGAGCTTTCTTTTTTTTTCTTTTTTTATTATTTTTTTAATTTTATTATGTTATGTTAGTCACAATATAATACATCATTAGTTTTTGACGTGGTGATCCATGATCCATTGTTTTCGTGTAACACCCAGTGCTCCGTGTAGTACGTGCCCTCCTTGATACCCATCACTGGGCTAACCAGTCTCCCCTCCCTCCCCAAAACCCTGTTTGTTTCTCAGAGTCCATAGTCTCTCATGGTTCATCTCTCCCTCCTATTCCCCCCCGCCTTCATTTTTCCCTTCCTTCTCCTAATCCACCACCCCACACCCTCTTCAATATCATGACTTTATCATCACTCATAATTTCAAAATAGAGGGTTGTTACCCAAATCATCTCATTTACCTTTCTTGGCTCTTGATACTTTTCATTTCTTTTCAAAAATCAAATACATTCTCAGTAACAAGAATTAGCTACCATTAAGGATAAATTCTGTTCCAGAGTGGAGTTCTGGAAATGTAAATACTGACCACATTGTTGGGGTAAACGTCCAGCTTCCTGAGGAGGCTACGAAGGAGGAGACAATACTCTTTGGACTGACCAATTCTGATATAGTTATACCTTGTAATCATACCATCTTCTTTCCCTTTGGGCAGAAGTTTTATTTCTTTCTTGACCGATATGAAACAGCCTCTCAGTGTCATATATATTTCAAGTCAATAAATCTTGGGGTCGGCGAGTCAGTTTCCCAGAAATAGGGTCTAATCTCAAACCTCACTCAGTTCGTTAGAATATTTGTTCGGTGGTCCTAAGAGTGGCAAGATGAAATCAGATGTTTCCTGATATTCTTTTTTTTTATCCTTATTTTTTTAAATTCCAGTATAGTTAACATACAGCGCTGTATTAGTTTCAGGAGTACAATATAGTGATTCAACACTTCTGTACCTCACTCAGTGCCCATTATAAGTTCCCTCCTTCATTCCCCTCCCCTAGTCCCCTCATCCCCCATTCACCTTCCCTCTGGTAACCAGCTCTTTGCTCTCTACTGATATTCCTTTTTTGGAGACGTGAATTTGTTGAAAAGGCCCCTGCATCCTGTGAAGCTTGTCTGAGATCATGTAGAAAACGTCTACAGGCTTAAGAAAGAATCTTTGAGTTTGATGAATCAGTGGCAAAGGTATGGTTTTGGCAACAGGAGGCTCTGGGATGGAATACCACTCTGCCTCTTGGGAATTCTGTGACCTTGAGCAAGGTCCTTTGATAGCGGGCTGTTTGCTCCTCTGTCAAATGGGAGGGATGCTAGTGAGCTGCAGATGTGTGGGGCAGTTAGTGAGGTAACACCTGCAGGGCAGTGCCTGTCCCTTAGTGGATGTCCAAGGGTTCTCAGCCCCTCTCACGGATGGATCCAGAATTGGTGAGGCCTGAAGTTTATACACTTTGGGAATGACTCTTGAAGAAGAAAGAATGCAAAATATTGGGTATCGAAGTGGATTTTTGTTTAGAATAATCAAAGAAATTGCAAGAAATCACAAATTTTTAAAAATTGACAATGACCCTAATGCGAACTCTGGACTTCAGTTAATAATAATGCATCAGTATTGGTTCATCAATTATAATAATTGTACCACACTAATGCAAGATGTAAGTAATAGGGGGAACTGTAGGGAGGGGTGGGGGCATATCAGAACTCTGTCTATCTGCTCAATTTTCCTGTAAATATAAAATGGTCCTAAAAATAAAGTCTATTAATAAGAAAAACCCACATCCATATTCACATATATACTCACCAACATATGTGGATAAATTGAAAAGATATCCTAGATTTTCATGACATGAAAAGACTCCATTCATCGGCAAAAGTGCCTTTCAAATCATAATAAATAATGCGAGAAAAAAAATACCACACAAACTTCACATGAAAATTCATAAAAAGACAGGAAAATATTTTATTAATTTTAACTGACATTTCTATAGTATTTTTTCCTAACCATTTTGGCTGAATACTCTTTGGCGACCTCTTCATATGATCACAGTTTCGTAAGATAGATTTCTATAGACAGAATAGAAAGATAATCCTCTAGCGTGATTGATCAGAATTTGATTTTTTAATTGACAGTTTAAAAAAGTTTTTCATTCTCACAAGTTGTTTTGGATAATGTCATAAAAAATTTTAATCAAATTTGAGAACTTATATCAAGTTTCTTTCATATTTGAGCAGAAAGATTTCAGGGCATTTCAGTTTTTCTTGTGCTGTGACCTCAACTGAAATACTTTTCAAATTGAGAATTGGAAGGAGGCCTCGCAAGGGAGGGGCCCTGAACCATAAGAATCGCAGGAAATCAACTTCTACCCCTTTCTTAACATGGTTGTCAGGTGGTTTTTTGTGTTTAGTATTCATTTCAATGAGTGGCTCTCCTTGGCATGAGTCGTTAATACCTTTGTGGATCTGTTCATGAGCAAGAATTTCACTGGCTTCTCATTTCTTCTTTGAAGTGCACGGTGACTTGCGGCCGAGGGTTACGTTACCGCGTTGTTCTGTGTATCAACCACCGTGGACAGCACGTTGGGGGCTGCAACCCGCAGCTGAAGTTACACATCAAAGAAGAATGTATCATTCCCATCCCATGTTATAAACCAAAAGGTAAGTTTGTAGTGCATGTTGAAGTGAAATCAAATGGTGTTTTCTGGCTCTCATTCGAATATTAAAGCAGTTCAATTCAACTTACTTTCTTAAAAATTGGTGTCACCCACAGATGGCAATAGACCCGTCCACCTGGGTAAAGAAGCTGGACCGAGGTGATTAAGTGATGGGGGTGCGGTGAACTGAGCTCCTATTGACTCAGTGCTCATAGAGTGGCTCCTATCCATCCGGGCTTATGCTAGCATTTCTTGGTGGACATAGAATAATTTGATCTAATCCCTGTTTTGGAGAAAAAGAAGTAGGGTGAACAGGAGGAGAAAAAGGCGACACGGGGTAGAAAAGCAGAAGAAGGAGAAAGAGAAGGAGGAGCAGGAAGTTTCCCCCAGGGTTCTCGTGCCTTGTTCCGACAGTATTTTATACGTATTCTTCGTCGTGTGTCCTGTTGCCTACTATGGAATGAATAAAGACTTTCAGCTCCCAGTCTAGACTGATAGATGCTTTTAGAGTTTGTTTTTGTTGTTCCTATTTGTTCCACATGAATTAGCAGAAATGGGTAGCATCCATGAACAGGAAGTCTTGACATCATCTCTCAGATATACATTCCTCTCTACACAGGATTATTGCCGTCTATTTTAGTGAGGTGTTTCCAACCCTTAGACAAGTTATTTCCTGTCTGGAAGTGAAAGAGGGATTATTCCCACCTGTTAGTGTCAAGAAGTCTTTTCATATCTTAGAAAGTATAGTAAAATTCTCCTTCATTATTTCTGGGTTCATTGTCCATACAAATAGCTTTACAATGAGCCACTGAACAAATATTTATTTACTGTGTCTGCCTTCCGGAAAAATCACTGGTTGCCATGCAAGGGACAAATCCCAGTTATAGAACTTTCACCCGTGAAGTCTTTTCTCCTTCCTGGTGCGCTTGATGGGCTCTCATAGCCATGTTCTCGGTGTCTGCGATTTCCCCACAGCAGTACAAAAACGATTTCCTTTCTTATTTCATAACTAGTGTTTCTTTCTTCATGTCTTAGGAGGCTTAAAAGGACAGAAAGGGGCATGCATCTTGCTCCTGCATGATGGTTATAATTGGTAATGAGCTCCCTCAGCAACTACAACAATAAAAATTTAAGTAAATCAGAGCACAGATTCCCCTCCTCCCAACTTCCCAAACATTTCTGTTATTTGATTTTTCTCTAGTGATTTCTTTATTCATGGGCAACAAGAATTTGTGGCAAAAGAAAGCAAGCTGATATGGAAGAAAGTAAGCTGATATGGTTGAAGTAAGAAAGCAAGCTGATATGGTTGAGCTTTAATATGTAAACAACAGAGGTTGGTTTTGGTTTATAAAAGGCATTTTTTAAAATAAAAGGCATTTTTATGTTCGCTTGGAGAACGTGTTCAACTGTGCTATGGGATCATCTGGTTGCATTTGGATAATGTGTTAATTAAAAAAATATATGACAGAAATGTCTGGTTCACCCCAGAAGCTGCTTCATGTGCTAAAAGACTCAGCTTGCATTTGCAAAGTATGACTGCTTTATTGATGAAACATTCAGCAAACAATGATCATGTATCCAACTCCCTTAAGCTTGTTGTTTATGTTCCTTTTTTCTTAGAAAAAAGTCCAGTGGAAGCTAAGTTACCTTGGCTGAAACAAGCACAAGAACTAGAAGAGACCAGAATAGCAACAGAAGAACCAACGTGAGTCCAGGACCTTTTATGGGAGCAATCAGGGCATAGCCAGTTAACATGATATATGTAATTTTTGTACTCATTGGAGTACAGTGATACATTTCAAATCCAAATGACCTGAATTCTCAGACTCTAGAGAGCTTGAGCTGGCTAGAATTCTTCCCTCTTTCGCAATTCAGCAGTCCCACTTTGGCAGTATTTGTGAGAAGCACATAAAAGAACAGTGTTTGTTAACTCAAAGCAGACCCAGTGGTCTGCTACAATTAAGAGATTGGGGATAATTCCTAGATCTGTATTAACACATATGATTTGACCAAGGACCATGACAATATTATATAAAATCAATCGATCGATCGATCAATCATTCCATGGTTAAGACACGGCCAATCTCTATAAAACCAGTTTCATTGAAATGCATCAGGGTGACCTGAGTAATTATAAGGAGAAATCCCAGAGCTGCTATGGCATGGAGCAATAGGAAGAATATGGCGCTACTTATCTTGGAGCCTAGAACCACTACTTTTAATTGTGTGACCTTAGACAAGTCTTTAATTTTTCTGTGTCTCATCCTATAAATGAAGCACGTTGGACTTGACCTCTCCAGGGTCCATTCCAACTCAAAAATCCAGTGACTTCTATCCACATGTGATTTGGCAAATCCAGAGTGTAATGGTGTCAGTGGAAATTGAGAATCAAAAGCAAATCAAAGAAACCTCTGGATGCAGAGGGATAGGGACCTAAAGAGAGCAAGGAATCAAAGGTGCTCTGAGATTTTTCAGCCAGGAGTCTAGAAGAATGACAGCACCAGTGACAGACTCAAGTAATTGGACAGGACAGCCGATTCCCTGTCAGACACGTCAAGTCTGTGGTGCTGACAGGCTATTTACCAAGAGAGCATTCACAGAGTGTTGTAGGAAAAGGGATCTCAAAGGTAATAAGGTAATATGGCCAGTCTCCCGCTCAGAGCAGGCGGGAGACTGGCCATATTCTTCGTCAATTCCTTCAGTGACATGCAGAGCTCCCTGCATTGAGAGACAGCTCATTCTTCTGTTGAACAGCCTGACTTATATGCAGGATTTTTCTCTGGTTGAGCTAAACACACCTCCTTCAAATTTCTGCTTTCTGAAAGAGAAAAAATAAAACCCAAAAAACCCATGTCTATGCCTCATCCCATGTGACAGGTTTTCACAAATTTGAGGAAAGCTGGATCCCAGGAGTGTGGTCTTTCCCAAGCTCATCACTCTTAGCCTTTTCCAGTGGTTTTCATGTTTTGCTTTTAGATCCCTTACCAACCTCATTGCTGGTTTCAGAACATGCTCATTTGTCAATGTCCCTTCCAACTGGAGTCCAGCCCAGTGAGCCCCAGGGGAATGTGGATTACTCCTCTTTGAGAAGGCACCATGCCTCTGGTGATACAGGCCAAGAGAATTGGCGTATCCCCCTTAGGACATGCGCAGAACTTTTCCACATGGACTAGTGGCAGGCTTTGAAGTGAACTCAGAAGAAACTGTAGATGCTGTGAGGTGAATGACCCCAGAGTAACTGACCAAAGAGAGAGGGGTTCTGGGCTCATGACTGTAGTTTGGTGATCTAGAGGAGGGGGGTGGTGTTGCAAGAAGTGGGTGATGCAGGAGAAGGAGTAGTGAGCAGAGGGAGAAGGAGACCCAAGGAAGGACCATGGTTGGAAAGACCAAGGCAGTAAAGAGTTTAAGGAGGGGTGCAGATCTCTTAGAAAGTCAAGGAAAAATGATGCAGATGGAGAAAACGCTATCTAAATGGGCAAGAGAGTCTTTCCCAGTTAATTGTAGAGTAGTATCATTCCAAGGGTAGAGATGTAAACATTTCAGAGATTTAAGACATGAATTCCCAGTTAGAAGGAGTGGGTATTTGAGTACTGAAAAAGGAGTACAGATTGGTAGGGAAGTTGATGGAAAGAAGTCGTTCTATGGATGTTTGATTTTTGTTATTTTTTATTTGAAGTTAGGATGGCCTTTATATATATATATATATATATATTAAGATTTTATTTATTTATTTGTCAGGGAGAGAGCAGGAGAGCAGCAGAGGGTGAGGGAGAAACAGGTCCCCTGCTGAGCAGGGAGCCCGATGCGGGGCCCGATCCCAGGACCCTGGGATCATGACCTGAGCCCAAGGCAGTCGCTTAACCAAGTGAGCCACCCAGGCACCCCAGGATGACCTTAAATACATTAAAAAATAATAAAGATTGTAGACAAGTCCATTAACATGTCTACACCTCCCAAGTGTACAGGAAGGGTGTTAGGCTCAATACTACCAGAACCTTCTCCCCGCTGTGATCTCCTGTGATTCTGTAAGGGAAGGAACCCGTGGAAAGAAGATTTGAGACAGCTGAAGGGAGTGTGTAGTTGTCACGCAAGGAAGGTTATAGAGTTCTCAGTCTAGAACGATGCATCCTACTTGGATCTTCTGTCCCCAGAACACAACTAGCTTATAAGTGCAACTCCTCCTGTATGTCTGTATGTCCTCTCTTGGTTAATGGGGTTGCTGTCCAGTTCCCCAAACCACAAGTCTGGGGTCATTCTTGCCTGTCTCTCATTCTTCCCTTATATGTAGTTAACTACTGGTCATGCTGATCATATCCACTAAAATCTGATTCCATTCCAGCTCCTTTGCTCTGTTCTTACTACCATCCTGTCCAGGTCCTGAGCTCACTTCCCGGGACACTAGAAACAGCCTTCTGATTCGCTTCCCACTCGGTCGCCTCAAACCCACCCATCCCACAGCTCCTGGACAAGTCTAGCTAAGGCACAAATCTGAGTCTTTCTTTCCAACATTGAGAATATGGTTCCCCATCAGCCAGAGATTTGCACTCATCCCCAAGGCCAACCAGACTTCACGGGGGGCATCACCCTTCAGGGCTCCCAGCATCCTCCCTGAGCACTTCCTTGCTTTGCCTTGAGTGGGACGCTGCAGCTGCGGTAAACTGCTGGTTGTGTGTCACCTACAGGAGGCTGCCACTCACCACCCCCCCCGCCATTAATAATGTTTTTATCCGAGGAGAGCTGACGCAATGTCACTTTGGTTTCAGGTGTACGACACAGTGATTCTGCAAGTTTCTACATTTTGCTGTGCTCAGCGCACGTGTAGCTGCCGTGTGTCCCCACACAAGGCTGTTGCCATACCAGCCGGCAGTACTCCTTAGGCTCTGCCCTTCCACCCCGAGGCTTGCTTGTCCCACCAGCCTTTCAGTCACGCCCCCTTCTCTGTTGGGAATGGGGGCCACCTGGCGAAGGCTTTTTTTTTTTTTAAAGCTGTTTATATTATATAAAATTTCAAGCTTATATAAAAGAGGAGAGGACAGTATAATGAACCCCCATGTATCCATCATCCGGCTTCAGTAGTTGTCAGTTAGCAGGTCGCTCTCGTTCCGTCTCTGCCACCAACGCGGAAGCCAGACTCCAGACAGCAGAGCATTTCATCTGTAAACCTTGCAGGATGTGTCTCTAAAGAAGAAGCACTACTTCTTCTATTCTCCTCCTTCTCCTCCTCCTCCTTTAATAACCACAATACCATTTTAAAGTCTGGTCTTCAAATCACTTCCATCAGAATCGCCTGTGGCACTCCTGAAATGCAGATCTCTGGGCCCCAGGGACAGACTCTGGGTGGGTGGGGGAGGGCGTGCTTCGTCCCTAGCATTTTTTTTTTTTTTTTGACTCTGCCAGATACCTTTTATTTGTTTATTGTTTTGTGGTAAAATAACCATAACAGAATAGGTGAAGGGGGATGAAGAAGTACAGGCTTCCAGTTATAAAATAAATCACGGGGATGAAAAGTGCAGCATAGGGACTACTGTCAATATTTCATCACTTTGCATGGTGACAGATGGTGACGACGCACCTATCGTGGGGATCATTTCGTAATGTCTAAAACTACCAGCTCGCTCTGGTGTGCCCCTGAGACTGATAGACTATTGTATGTCAGATGTGCTGCGCTTTCAAAAATGACCGTTTTAACCGTTTTTAAGGGTGCGGTTTCGTGGCATGAAGTGCACTGACCTGGTTGGGCAGCCAGCACTGCCCCCCCTCCGGAGCTGCTTCATCTTCCCCAGCAGAGACTCTGTCCCCGTGAAGCACTAGCTCCCCAGTGCCCCCTGCCCCTCCCCCTAGCCCCCTGCCCCCCCCTTCTGCTTTCCATCTCTAGGAATTTGTCACCTGCATTTTTAGCAAGTATCCCGGGTGACTTGGGAAGGTGCATCCAAGTTTGGGAACCACTGGATCGGGCCGTCTGTAGGGTCCCTTTCACAATCTGAAAATCCTGTTCATTGTATTGAATTGGAAGGGGCAATATCATGTGAGCTACAGTGGGTTCAGGCCCTGTATTCATTCCAAACCTGCTCTTTCTGTCAGCCCACCTGCCTTTGCTGCTGCTGGTTTCCTCCTCCCCTTAATCCCCGAGCAAAGCCAATACGCCCTTTCCTCCTGGAAGACACCACCCCTTTCTCTCCAGTATGGGAGACTGAGCCCCCTGCACCTGTTCCCGGCCCTCGAGGCTGCCTCCTCCCTGCTTCTTCCCTCCCCCTCTCCGTCTGTGGTCTCTATGCAATTTTCCTTTGTAATTCACGCTGCTGGCCAATGCTGGCCTGTTCCTGGCTGCCTAGTGTGAAGTTTATAGTTTCCTCCCACCACTTCTGACTCTATTCAATCCCTCGATTTCCAAACAAAACCGCAACATACCTCAGCTTCCAGTTCATCCTTCTATAACCGCTGTCTTTTGTGGTTTGGGGATGCTTGCTTGTTGACAATGATGGAGAAGGGGGAACGTAGCTATATTTCAGATCCCTCGAGGAAAGCCTGCCAAACCTGCCTGGAGAAGATAAATATTTCTGCCTCTGTGGTTTACCATGGCCTGAGCTCTGAATTTACACAGGGAGCGGATGTTCAAAAGCTTTTTTTTTTTTAATTAGGAAAATAAAAATTATAGCTTATAAAGCTACGCCAAGAGAACTGCAGTGTTGACCTTTCAAAGCTTCC